CTCTCCCAGTTGCTCCCTACGGCAGCTACTGGGTTGTGACCACGGACTACACCAGCGTGACCGTTGTGTACTCTTGCACGGACATTTTGCGATTGTTCCACTTCGACTACGCCTGGATCCTTGGGCGCTCTCGCTTCCTGCCAGCGGAGACTGTGAGGTATGCTAAAGAGCTGCTGATCCAAGAAGGAGTCGACCTGTCCAAGATGAAGGCCACAGATCAGACGGGCTGCAAGGATAACTAGGGATTTGTATCCCCTCATTGCACTGTAACCAGCAACCTTTATCATTATTTTAATTGCTGCCTTAAAATACTTGTGCATTTAAAAAAACAATATTGATCTTAATGCAATGTGCACTAATACTTGATTATCTCGTATGAAGCTCATTTTGTAGTTCAAGCTATTGTATTGTACCTTTTATTGTGATTATTACAGCAAACATATCTCCCTATGGTTGGTTTTGATTATAACATGTATATCCACCATGACACAATCTCGCTCATTTTGCTGTTTACAGATGTGAAAATACTTGTAAAACATGCTATTGCAATAAAACAAGCATATCCTTGCTGATCGCAAAAAACACACACTTAAGATTTTTGGATATTAAAACTGTTCATTAGGTCGTTTTTTGTCAATCTTTTTAAACATGAATTAATGTGGTGAGCATTGGAAGGACTATATCTGAGCAAATGTGAGAAGATAGGTGGAATTAAAAAAAGTTCTGTCCAAATTGAGATATCCTCAAGTTATGGTTACTGAGGGAAATAAAGAAAAAGTGTTTGAATTCAAGCCTTCAAGCCTTGAAGCCAATCAAGTGATACATGCACTAATTCATTATATAGCATCATTATTATTATTATTAATATTATTATTATTATTATTATTAAGAGGGCAATATGTGTTCATACAGTAAAACAAATCACGTGAAAATATCTCTATATTGACAAAAAGTAGTTCTCAAAGGCTAAGAGCTATTCTTAAGTTTAGCATTTTGGTAACATGCTTTTTTGGAGCTAGAATTGACCATATCTGTAGAAGAAGGTAAAGGGGCTAGGCTCAAATTGGCAAGGTACCAGCTAATGCTATTGATATCTATGTTAGCAACGTGCATCTGTAATTCAATAACAAAGTTCACTGTGATATTGATTGGGATGCTAATTTATATAGCAAAAAAAAATAAAAAGGAACATACCCCTTTATGTCTGGCGCCCTTGATCCAACCACAGCAATCTTTAAACTTTGCATTTATTTTCTTCACAACTCCTTCTTATTGGCCCACCCCCACACCATTTGCGAATGTAGTGTTGCCACTTGTGTGACCCATTGACATCACCAAGTTTTCTCATAGACTTCTTGACAATCTTACAATGTTTGCAACCATTAAAGTCACTTCCTGCTGTGCATTAGAAAGAATGCAGGTTTAGGGCACTGTAGCATCGGCTTTACTTTTCAGATCCAATAGACTTGCCCCTCGGGTAAATTCAGAGTAATCTGGGAAAGGCATGGCTGTGTGCGTTTGCATGCGTGTGTCAATCAACCAATTAAAGTTTATTTATATAAACCAATATTAAAGATTTTACATTTGTCTCAGTGGAAGAGAAACTTCCAAACCTCGGGGAGTGTGTGTTTGTGTCTGTGTGCGTGTGCGTGTGCGTGTGCGTGTGCGTGTGCGTGTGCGTGCGCGCGCGTGCGTGTGCGTGTGCGTGCGTGTGTGTGTGTGTGTGTGTGGTGGAGGTCCACTGGCTCTTCCTCCTCTGAGCTCCACAGACCACAGTCCACCAGCGAATGAACAGCATCTCTCTGCACGGCTTCACAGATCCTTTTGCAGGTAAAAGTCTTACTATCTTTTACTCTCATAAGACTATAGCATCTAGAAGAAAATATATGTTATAGTACTAAATCATTATGTATACCGATGAATGACAAGTGGATTAAAGTGCCTCATTTTAAAATGTTGTATTTAGAAAGGAAAGATGAAGCTCTTGGTATGGCTCGGTGCTCTCCTCTGCCTCTTTGCCTGTCATCTCAGTGGTGAGTTTCATCTGTAAGATTATAAAATAAAATGTAATTTATTAATCCCAATTTGGGAAAAAAATATGTGTTGCAGCAACATAAAACAAAATAAGGCATTGCACATAAAAAAATATATACACGGTCTGACAAATACAAAAAAAAACGATTGAAGGGCCAATTCTCTGTTTACACAATATAAGCGGGATATTATTTGTATAAAGTGTGCAAGGAATATTCATTTAAATATAAATACAAAATGTACAGTGTGAATGTTATAAGCCTATTAATTCGGGTTTACTAAAAAGCAACATTTGATGTGTTGATACCGAAGTTTAGTTTGTCTCTGCAGCAAAAGTATTTCCCCGTAAGATAATACAATTAAGAGAATACAATTATTATTATTTTATGTTTAAAAAATGCTGTATATGAATCTTGTTTGATTACAGATGTGACTGCATCTATAGAAGAGCATTGGGTTTTAGTCACTGCAAATGTACAAAGAGGACTCTGTCCGAGGAGGAATTCTTTATGCCTTCTTTATGTGTATGTGTGTGTTGTGTGTGCTCGTGTGTTTTTGCGTGTGCGTGCGAAATAGTCAGCAATAATATTTGAGGAGGGAGCAGGTATCCAGCAGTCTTCTGGGAGGAAGCACAGTTTTTCGGTTTTCCACACTTGAATCCCTTCTTTGTGCTTTGGAATGTTTGGGAATGTAAATTTTGTTCTCTCTCACTCTTCCCCCTCACAGAGGCCAGAGTCATCCCAGAAGGAGGTAATGTATTTAAATAACACATCTCCTTTTAGCAACCTCAAACATTGCAACAAACACGTGCCTCAGATATTAAAAATAGTTTTCCATCAATTGCACTTTCAAAAATTCCCCATAGAGATACTTTGGTCACCAAAATGCAATGATGTGAAAACACTTTGGGAGGTGTTGATATGTCTTGAGTAGAACAACTTGCTCCTCATCTCTCTACTATACGTTTTTTTGTATTATAATTTTTTTTTATGCATGCTTCTTAACATTAAGCTGTCTTTGACTCTTTTTCTGCTGTAACAACAAACGGCTAAAGGTATTCTGATTATTATTTATTAAGTTGCACCCTTTCTCTGCGTAAAGGCAGTCTGGGAATTTTACAATGTACCAAGTGAAAAAATAAAAATAAGTGGTGTACCCCTCATATTACACATAGGGAACTGTGGTATATAAAATACAAGAGTGGTGTTATTCTTTAAGTTGTCTCATGTCCTCCCCTGGCCTGCTGTGTGTCTTTAGTTCCATATGAAGAACCTCCAGCTGTCCCCTACTGGCCCTACTCCACCTCTGACTTCTGGAACTACATTGAATACTTCAGATCCATCGGCGCCTACAACCAAATCAACGAGATGGCCCGGGCCTTCTTTGCCCACCAGCACCTCGGAGACACCCTGGGATATGAGACCACCGAGGGACATGAACACTGAGAGGGAGCTAATGGCGCCAGGATTTAGAGGAAGGGGGCAGAAAGGGGACTCTTGAGATGTTAAAAAAGAGTATCAGACGTCAGAGAGAGGGAAAATGAGTTACTAAATTAATGTAGGGTATACATAACATGTGATATGCTAAATGAAGTGAATACTTGCAGTTTTTCTTTTCCCAAGTATCACTGCTGTTAGTTTAGACAATAATCAAAATGTAGAGTTATAGATCTTTTATAGCAGAGTATGTAATCCTTATAATGAATCAAAAATGAATAAAATGTCCAAATATGTCTATTAAATGGTTTATAAAATGATTTATGTTGTCGTCTTTTTCCAGTATCCTTCTATCCTATTATTTATTTATCATTACAGTTCTTATCCTTCCACAATTCTTTAAAAAAAAAATTCTCTTCATTTTTTAAAGATTTGGTAACTACTTTCATGCAGGCACGTGCACACATACATCAAAGTGGGCTTGAGACCCTGCTCCTTTTCTTCCTGCAGAGAAAGTGCCCTTTCCCCCCCCTTTTTTTACGTTAACTAGGTCTAATTAAAATGCGCTAATTTGCATGCAGTTACCAAGGCATTGCAGGTGAAACGGATAAAACAAAAAACACATCACCTCACAACTTCCCCAGATAGTTACTTACGTCAAGTCAGTATTTTCCCCTGAAATGTTATGAATGAATATATATCTATGCTGTTTGCGCACGGTTACCCTTTCCAAAAATATATGGATTGAATACAAAAATGTAAAGGGGACCTATCATGCAAAATGCACTTTTGTACGTCTTTTATACATGAATATGTGCCCCAAGAGTCAGGGAACTCACCAAGTGTCACGAAGCACAACCCTCTCTCTTTTCCTCCATACCCAAATCTCTAAAGACTGGGCTGCAACGGAGCTGATACAGACGTTAATTTTTCTGACGTCAGAAAAGGGGTGCTCCGCCTATATGGACAACTCTCCACCTATCAGGGGAATGGGGGGTTGGGCCACGGCCACTGCAGCTCCAAAGCGCTGGAGACGCTGTAGTACATATGCCAGGCCTGTAAGTGGCGCTGTTGTCTGCCATAAAAGCAGCGAAGAATGGTTGCCATGGTTGCCCTTCTGTTTATTCTCCGCTGTGGCTGTTTTTCTTTTTCTCCCTCCCAGCGTTTGCTCCTGCTGCTGTAATTCAATGCAATCCCTCCCTCGCTGTAATTCTCTCCGGTAGTCCACCAGCAGATGACAAACACCCACCTCTCCGCCTCTTCCAAGGGACGAGGGGACCTTGCGGCAGAGTTTCAGTTCGATTTTTTTTCGCCGGTCAACATGTCCGTTAAAATTTAAATCTTCCGGACAAAATTAGAAAAGTGCCGGTCAAAGGTCTTCTTTGTTATTTATTGAGTTTTAAAACAAATGAATAATGACTCTATATAATCATATATAAGAATAAAACACGGAGGACGGAGATCTATTTTCGTCCCCCTCTTCTCCCCCGCTGCAGCCTAGCTCACAGAAACAGCCCCCTGCAAAAACAGGGCTGGAAAGAGCAAATAGAGCGAAATGAGGCATGGCTAAAATGCAGGATCTGTTTGGTATTTTGAAAAAAAAACTATATTTATATACTTTATATAAGTATGGGCCTACAATATATTGTTCAAATATAGCATGATATGTCCCCTTTACGTCAAATGGATATATATTCCTTTTTACTGAAG